TTACCATCGGTACAAGGACATCATTCGTAAATATAAATCAACATGCAGACATCTTATACGTTCGGGTATTTCACATCCAATCTTTTATGGTAATATTCTATACAAAGCACAAACATGTCGTCATTCACCTCAAAAGCTAACCAAACCTTTAAACAGACTTATTCAGAAGAGATATAGTAACGATACTGTTGTCAGGTCATTAAAGATGGCAAATTTTTGAATTAATATTGATTCACTCATAGGGTCTTGGAATCGGAAATAAACATATTTATTCTAAAACCAGTTCTTGGCATGATACGGGTTATGTTCTTCTCATATTTTTTGATGGTATGATACTAAACTCCTAACGGGAGGGATTGTGCTTGATGTTAATATGATGAAGACATAATCTTTCAATCAGTTTAATTGACGTCTGGAGCTGGCATGTCAGTAACTGCTAGAAGTCCTTTGTTAAGGGGGGGGGGGGGGGGGGGGGGGAGATCTCACAAAACATGTTTAACCCCGCCGCATTTTTGCGACTGTCCCAAGTGAAGAGCCTCTGGCCTTTGTTAGTCTTGTATGTTTTTTTAATTTTAGTTTAGTTTTATGTTTCGGAGTTTAGTATGACGTCCATTTTCACTGAACTAGTACACATTTTTGTTCAGGGGCCAGCTGAAGCCCGACTCCGGGTGTGGGATGTTCTCGCTGTGTTGAAGACCCATTGGTGGCCTTGTGATGTTTCCTGCTCTTTGGTCGGGTTATTTTGTCTCTTTGATACATTCCCCATTTCCAATCTCAATTTTATTAAATCTTTAGATACAAGGAAAGTCGTCTAATCCGAACATTTACTGGTTTGATCCTATTCCGATTGTGACATTTTGACTGACTTTGGACTCGCATGGCGGGTAATGCATGTATAGCAGGAAACGCTTACCATGTCGACGCGTCCGGTCGCGCTAATTTGTACTCATGCAAATCTCTCATTTTTTTTCTTTTTACTTTTTTACTTTGATTTTGTCGTTTTGTTTTATTGGATGCCAGTCAACTAGTGATCCTCCAAATTATTTTCATTTGCATTACAAACCATTTAAAAAAAAAGAGATATAATAGGATAATCTAAGCTAAAATGGGTTGAAGTACAATTTAACAACTTGTTAACTTTGGAAATGATATCTATGCGAAAAGAAGATTGTAAACAAAACATCTATATAATACTGTAGGTGTCTTATATTGCAACGATACATTTATTCAGTTTTTATAAAATTTGTTATATTTTAGCGATTGATGAGATCTGTATTCCTAATATATTGATTTCTTTGAATTACAATTAATACAAACATACCGAACCAGCTTTAACATATAAACCTCATAAGTGAGCGCAATTGAAAATCACATAAACGATTTTTTGTATTTCTAAAACAATTGTGCTTCTTTTTGTCTTTTTTCAACATTCTCTTCTCATGGAAAAAGTATGATAAGGCAATGTTTTACTCTTGAATTTAAAAATTGGCGTCAAAAATAAAATTTTCTAATTTTGTCGCACATATTGGTATAAGGGCTTCAAACTTCTTACATATAGTGCAACATAGCAAAAACTGCAAAAATGGATTCAGTTTGAGATAGAGTTTTTAATATAAATATATTAACAAAAGATTTTCCAAGAAAAGGTTATTTTGCTACAAAATGTATTATTAAATGATGTTGATATATGTATAAAATCTTTTGTTTGAAAGGTGTTTATATATATTTTATAAATTTACCTGTGACGTTACTTTTTGTGGCAATGATCCATTCGTGTTACAGACACACAATTCGTAATTCTATTAAGCTGTTTTTGTGTACTGTCCTAAATTATTTTAGTTATTAGTTGTTATTCTGTGGTTCACATGTCGAAATGTACTATTATATTATTTATTAAGTATTTCTCTATATTTGGTGTTTTTGCATTTATTTGTACTCTGTTCCGTCATGTAATGTTGTCATTTTAGCGGTATATTTAACATTGCCATAAAGCGCGGAGGTTTGACAAGCCACAAAACCAGGTTCAACCCACCATTTGTTCTTAAAATGTCCTGTACCAAGTCAGGAATATCGCAGTTGTTATTTAATAGTTCGTTTCTATGAATGTTGCATCGTTGTTTGTTTTTTGTTGCACTTCTGTGTTCTGTTATTTCGTTGTTTTCCTCTTATAGTTGATGTGTTTCCCTCGGTTTTAGTTTGTAACCCGGATTTGTTTTCTCTCAATCGATTTATGACTTTTGAACAGCAGTATACTACTGTTGCCTTTATTTGCACCAAAACGAGGGATCAAATACGTAAATTTCTACATGTTTATGACATTACAGTGACATCACAAAGGACCTTTCTGAACTAAAATGTCAAGATATGTTAACCTGTTCATTTGTCAATAGTATTAACATTAGTGCAATTGGTCGTTGAGAGTTAATTTTTACCATTGTTCGAATTTTATTTTGTTGTTTTCTTTGGTGATTTTTTTAACACGTGTATTGCAGTTTTATATGTGTACCATGTGTAAGGGTTGTTCCATTTTAGAAAATTTAAGGTAACGATCTATAGATAGTAACAACATAAACGGTACAAATGTTTTGGCACCAGATGCGCATTTCGACAATTAATTTCTCTTCAGTGATGCTCGAGGACAACATATTTGTGAATCAAACACCTAATACAAACAATGAATAGCTGATGAAACCAAACAAAATATAAATTACAGTTGGGTGCAGACCATGCATTACCTGTTAACAGGCAGAAAAACTTAACGCGGTGTTCATTCACGCGCACTTCATGTAGACGCCACGTTAACAAGGCGTTAAATCCAAACATTTCAAAAAAAATTTCAAATAAAGTAAACGGGCGTTTACTGTTACGTTTACCTCCGCGTTAACGTAAAAAAGGGCGTCTTCTTCTTTTGTTAGAATTAAACGCACGTTTACCTTTTGTAGCAAATGTGCGTTAACGCAGTTTGTCATGGTATCCTAGATACACTGACTAATCATGACTAGTTGAAATGCCCAACTGTCCCTTTTTGACAAATATCTGATTAATGATTACAAAGCTTGAAATGATACATATTAAATTAATTGAAAAGCATTTGCAATTGAAAATAAAACTGTTTTCTTAATATTATTGTTCGGACCTGATAATTGAGTACTGTTTATATCTACAAATGGATGGTTTGATAAAGAATGGAAGGAATTTTAGTTTGAAATTGCTAAATTTTTTGTCGGCATCAATACATGTATAAGGTGTCAATATTTTCCCTTTTGTTAGAATATTATGATGGTTCATGTCGATCAGTCTTTAGTTTTCTATGTTGTGTTTTGTGTTTTGTTGTTTGTCTGTTTGTCTTTTTCATTTAGCCATGGCGTTGTCAGTTTATTATCGACTAATGAGTTTGAATGTTCCTCTGGTATCTTTATCCTCACTTTTATGTTACAGCATCAAAATTTTGTTATTTTGGTACTTCAGGATGGAAAGCTTTACACAAATCGAGAGCTCTAAAAGTTTACGGTTACTACAACTTTTGTCGACAACGATAAAAAGTTCCAATAATTATTCTTTTCTATACTATTCATGCACTGGCCTGATAATTTAGTACTTTTTATACACAGGATTGATTGTTAGACACATAAGTGAAAGAATCAATATATGTTGCCAATATTTTCCCTTTTTCTTGAAAAACATACTGAACTCCAAGGTAAATTCAAAAAGGGCAAGTCTATTAAAACTGAGAAAATCAAACGTTATCAACCAAAGGAACGAGTGGAAAACTTAAGACTTCGTACAGGCATTGTCTTAAGAATGAGACGGATTAAACCTGGTTTTATACATAGTTAAACCTTCTACATATATGACATTTTTTATAGTTCCGTTATATTGACTAAATTTAGTGCGCAACTAAAATAGACATAATATGTTAGTTAATGTGACAACACTGTGCAAACATACATCACGGACATACAACATAACTGACTGAAATCTAACAAAGACGCCAACCAAAACAATGTAGTTGATACTAAATTTGATAATGATGTCAACAAAAAAAGTTTTTATATTTCATAAAAAAGTTTTTTGTAGTTGATAGTACATACCATATATAGTATACACTTTCTCGATGAAGTACATATTAAAGTACGTATTAAAATATAAAAACAAGGGTAAACAAATGAAAATAACACCGTAAAAGCCTCTTGTGTCCTCATCGCATCTCAGAACCCACATGCACAATGACGTCCAAAGTCTAACGTCATTAGTGTCGCTCGAATAAAAGAAAGCTTCAATCACTGAGAATCGACGCAAAAGAGCAAAATTATCCAATGGATTCGAGAAAACAGGCGAACAACGTGATGATTATAGAAAAAAATAATGAATCAATCCGGAAAACCGTTAATCAGATAAGAATGAGAGGAAGTATTTCTTCTAAACGAATATTTTAACTTAAACACATCTTTAAGTGCCAATCGTAATTTATTTCACCAATTATATCATTGATAGACAGTTGTAATGTATTCTTAATTTTTTTATTCTGATGAGTTTTTCTGAAATGTTTAAACTTAATTTTTATCACATTTAGTACTCGTAAATATCTAAAAGCTTGAAATGTTCCAGGATTATAAAACTTATGTTTTTTTCATATTTTTACTACTCGGTAATATTATATACATGATATATATTCCAAACAAAAACCTAACTTCAGTTTTTTTCAAATTTTACATTTTGCGGTACATTTCGATGTCAACGCTTCAAAATGACTCATGCGATGTTTGTATTTACTGTTTACTCATATGTTTAGTTTTTATTATCATATTGCAATCGCGGAGATTCATATAGATGTGTATTTCTACAGAAAAACTACTAAAAAAGAACATTGAATTTCAAAATAATTTTAGCTCCTACTGGTTTAATCACGACTCGGTGATGTCTTATTCTGTTCACTTGTATTGCAACGAATAACACGAACCAGAATAAGGTATATAGGAATCAAAAGAAGCGAACCGATGTTCAAATCTCGTACATCTATTTTGAAACAACAAATCAAATAAAAACAACTAAGCTTGTCCGTTATACAAAATCTTCAAATAAGATTACAAGATGTGTACATCGATGATTGCGTTTAGCTTTCAATATAATGATAATGTCAAAAACGATTGTTAAATCTATATTTGTAAAAATTGCAGATAACTAAAGTCCTATCCAGTGAGGAAAGAAATGATCTTCAACGTTTAGTACTTTTTCAAATCGCGAACCCTTTACAGCAGCATCCTTCATGTATATCACATCTCCACCAGTTAAGTAGCTGATCCACCAACCAAAGGTTCCTATTGTCATAATTGTGTGGTCACAGGCAACTAAAGTTGCCATGTCGAGTTCTCTTTGACCTAATGATATATATGCTACTGGAACATGAGAAGGCACATTTTCTATAGACCACGACATTCCATCTGATATCACAAGGAATAAAACAGCTTCATATTTTTTAGCGTAATAGTTAACAGACCTGTTTAAATACTCTGGTGAAGCTATTTTATACCCATCATCATAACTTGTCACCTTATCACCTCTCCTTATATGAATACCAACTAAATTAACACTTTTGCGAGATTTTATTTTCCACCTTTGTAGTATTTTATCAATTGTCTGTTTTGCTTTATTTTGTATATGCTTTCTAAATGTTAACTGCTTCTTAAGCTGTTTATCATACATGTAAAAATATTTCCACGACTGAAGGCCATATCCAAGTTGAATGTTATCAGTTGAGCTAAAGTTCATTAAGTTTTTATGGTATGTTGGAGATGCTCTATCCAAAACTTTTCGGAACCCTTTACATAATTCCCTTGATTCATTGAATGTCTCACTAATTTCAAAAACTTCGCTGATTTCAGCATCAGAAGGTATGATAAGATTCATATTCTTAGACTTTGCTGCAGAAAACGCAGTTGCGAATTGAAATAATCTATTTCCCAGTCCACCTTGCAAGATAGGACATATTGAACCCTTCATTTTCTCGTTCAAGCTATACGAATGTCTTGTGATTGTCGATTTTATGTATAAAGGCACAGGTGAAAATGTTTCAGTTGTAGATTTTCTTCTTAAAAACACTGATGATATAATTCCAGCCGATTTTAGTATAAAGCAAACTAAGATTAGAATCAGGCCACCTAAAATATAGAAAAACGTTTATGTGAGATTTCATTAGATATGTCCGTAAAACAAGTTTACCATTGTGGCAAACGGCAATGCGCTTGATCCTTGTTCATCCTTATCCGGTCTAATCTGTGTTTTCTTATAGAGAGCAGTTAAGAAATATCTGTTACGTTATAAATAATGCATATTTCTTGTCGTATAACACACCGAGGGGTGTCAGGATTGATCAAACGAAAGACCGACTTTCTTTAGGTAATTTTGACGCCACGAGGTGTCTTATACTTTAACAAAAACCTTAAAATATGCATTATCTGACTTATATACCATCAATACATATTATTTTCTTCAAATATTTTAAGGAATAGTATCCTATTTTCCGATCACTTTAAAAAGGGATATTCTTTTCTTAAGTCTGTAGGTATAAACACGCCTTACAACTCATTTTTAATGTGAAATAAAACTCACTTTTTGTATTGTAAATAAAAACCCAAATTGGCAACAACACACGAATTAAATGCTTAAGTACTCTGTAGTTTGCATTTTGATATTGACAAATAATGACCTGACGCAGGTCAATAGTTTATGCCTTGCAGCACATTATATTGAAAGTTGGTATCATCCAGGTTGGTTCTTCAAAATAATGACTTGTCGCTCTGAAAGGAAATAACTCCATAAAGGTATATAATGTTTGATAATTCTACTAAGATAAAAACTTTGTAAAGGTAAATATACATTCTGGTATATACACATTATGCATTTTTGTCTCTATAATCTGTCATATTAACATATACTATAGATATCTATATTATTTATCTTTTGGCAAAAAAAGGAGATGTGGTATGATTGCCATTAAGAAACAGTCCAACAGACACCAATTGACGTGAAAGTAAGCTATATAGTTACTATAGGTAAAGCCTTAAGCAATAAGCAAAATCGATAATGTATAGTAAGCCTTAAAAGGCTCGATCATTACAAAAAGTTAAACAATTTACTTGAGAAAGTCAAAACAACAGTTGAACATTCTGGATAGTTGTCTCATTGGTAATTAAACCACCTCTCCTTATTCTTTACTGTAAAACTTAGTTGGAAAGGACTTGTTAACTAATCACACACGAAAAAAGTAAAATAACAAAATTACCGAACTCCAAGGAGAATTTCAAACGGAAAGTCCCTTATCAAATGGCAAAATCAAAAGTTCAAACACATCAAACGAATGGAAGACAATTGTCATATTCCTGACTTAGTGCAGGCATTTCCTTGTGTAGAAAATGGTGGATTAAACCTGGTTTTATAGCTAGGAAAACCTCTTACTTGTATGACAGTCGCATAGAATTCCATTATATTGGCAACAATGTGTGAGCAAAACAAACAGACATTATAGGTAAAAATGACAAAAATTGGGGTACCGCAGTCAACATTGTAATATAATCTTAATCACTATAAACACAAATAACTATTTCAACAAATAAAAACATATCGGCATATAGACACTCTATAGACAAAGTACATAAGCATAAATGAAAGACAAGAATACAAAATTGACCATAGCACAGTAACACAATAGCGGGATGTATAAGTACCGAGCCACACCAAAAGTATATAACCACACAAAATATTTTGACATTTCCATTACAATTGAGTAAATGGTGATGTCCATATAACGGCAATCTAACAACTTTAAGCAAACAGTTTTCTTCAATATACCAGTATCTACAGCAATGCTTAGATTTCTGTTAATTAATTTTATAACCAGGCCAAATGAAGAAACAAATGTTGGGCTATATAACACTACACCAGAAAATACCTCGTAATAATCATATGTTTATAGTATGTAAAACAACTGATAACTATTTAAGTCTTGTATTACAGTTGGGTTGTTCAGTTTAATATAATGTTTAAAGGCTATAACACCATGATCAATTTAAATTTTTATATATTAATGTTAAAGAAAGCTTATTTTGTTTACTTACAAAATGTAATAATCTTTTTCTAAAAGTTTGACTTCAGTTGGTTAAGCTAGAAAGATAAGAATAGTGGAGAAACTTTTTAAGGAAAGGAGATATTTGAAACTAATTATTTGATTGTACTCATCAGTTCTGCCTCTACTTAAAAGCTATGTAATGATGACGAACAAATACTGTGAAAGGCATAGTTACTGAAATCTAGTTCAAAGCCAACTTTAATTAATAAACAAATCATATTTTTCAAGACTATTTACACTTTCAGCGGATTTAGTGTAAATAATTCATAAAATAGCCCGATAAAAACATGACAGTGTGTATAAATATAAGTATAAATATGATGTCAGACCATAGGATTTCATACCTGTAAAGCAATACATATTTTGTAATGGTTAATTATATCAAGACCAAATGCAATGTTAGTACCGATAAATTTTATAATTATTCAAACATCGATCTGAATGCAGTCTAGAAATGATAACAGTAAAAAATAAGTTTATAAAAAATCAATAAGTTTACGTAAATTGTGTTTAATTTTAATGGCTTTATACTCAGCATCACCGTAAGAAGTAAAATATGATTTCGAGTGTAATAAGCTGAAGGTTTCTACATATACAGTTAAATTTCAGAACCAGATTATTGTATTGATGAAAAAATTTAGTAAGGGGTTTAAGTGACTTGTTGGCACAGATAAAGCAAATGAATCGAAAAATATAAACACCTTGAGAAGGATTTAAAGGAACATTATTTCTTAATTTAGGAAAATTGCAAAACGTGAACAAACCATCCATTTCCAGTACAGTTAAATTTCAGAACCAGATTATTGTATCGATGAAAAAATTTTGTAAGGGGTTTAAGTGATTTGTTGGCACAGATAAAACAAATGAATCGAAAAATATAAACACCTTGAGAAGGATTTAAAGGAACATTATTTCTTAAATGAGGAAAATTGCAAAAAGTGAACAAACCATTTTTACAGTTTTTTTTTATAGTTGCCCATATTAAACAGAAACAATAAATTCCAGAAAAGGAAAAGTATTGCGGTTTATATCAAAATTCGTTAGAGTCAATTGCCTTGGTAAATTTTGGCAGTAAAAATAGAGAACTTTTGGTTATCTAAACCAAACATATAATCAAGATAACATTGAGTTTTAATACCTCTTTCAATGCAATTAGACATTAGACGGCTCTGTATAATACTTTTTTTATTGAGATTCATTAATTGTCATTTCTGATTTTATTCTTTGCCGTTTCAAAAAGATATAGCGTCATGTGTGCTCAAGCGGTGGTTAGAAACTTATTGAGAAGAAGGAACTAGTCATCATAAAATCCGAAACCGATGATGACGACGGAAAATAAATCCTGATCTTTTTTGCTTATCTCAAAATAGATAATAAGAAGGGAGGATAACAAACTGCACTTTGTATACTATATTTAGGGGAGAGAGCCATATTGTTTCCTCTGATCAGGAAGACTAAGGGGTGACACACAAAAGAGTTCTCCTCATTTAGTATCATTGATGTGTTCAGAAAGAAGATTTGCAGCCTTAATAATCTCAGTAATTAATTTCAAAGTATATTTGGCATATTTAGAATTTTCATTAAAGAAGAAGGTATTAAATGAGTTGTAGCAATATGATTTCCATCAGATATTTCAAAGAAACATTTCATCAAATAAGAAAACATCTGTTTGATTGGATTTTGTGGACGTGTATTGTAGAGGTTCGGAAATCAAAACTGCCCATCAAATTCACTATTAAACTTTTTTTTTTTATCTTAATTGGTCATTATACTGCGGTTAAGTCACTACTGTTCAGCCAATTCGCTTGTAGTCAATCAAGATCTGTTCAGACTGTTGTTATTTACATGCACACATCAACATCATACTGAACTGTCCGAAAAGCTACAGAATAGAACTGAATTGACTGCAAGCTAATTATTTGAACAGTGCTGCATTTACCACAGTGTTCAAGTCTAAAACTTGACTGAAATACTGAACATGACTGAATAATTTTTTGTTTAGACTTTTCAAAGTTGTTTAGATCAAAATGGCCATTTCAGACTAATATTTATTCATTAGTAATTGCTGAGATCATCAGCAGCACATAATTTGATTTAAACAACCAAAACGTTTGTACCCTAAAACATAATTAATGCCATTATTTGTACATGCCTCTATTACAAAAGTTAATTACAAGTTGTAATAGTTTAGTAAAGGATTTCAAAGACATATTATGTACAATATAGGTATATACATTCTGAAATTCAAACTGACCACAGCTACGATATACAGACGATACACGTATGGAGAATGATCGGCGAGGGGAAGAGTAATGCACTGTGAATGATGCACGCACGATGAGTATTGGGCGTAACATGGATGATTAAAAGATAAGGAGCGATGAGATTTACACGGACGATGAATGCACGAAGAGTGATGAGCGTTACATGAATGGTTAACACAATATACATACGCGGTGATTAATGAGTATACAAAAACTATATATCACAAAGTAGCAACACGCAAGCATGGTACATACATTGATATTGCAGCCGGTACATACATTGTGTAGGAAATTACGAGTGATATCAATATGTTCGCTTTTTTCCTATGCATTGTAGTGACGTTGTCATAGAAAGCACTATCATCTCCTCCTAGTTTCAAGTCATTTTAGAATTATAAAGAGGTAGACCCATACACGATTTTTAGGTAGTTAGAAAACATGTTGAAATGGTATATTGTATTACCGTGGTTACCTTTTGATACGAGATTAGGATACAATTAATTGGTCGATGAAATGAGCATAATCAAAAAACAAAACAGACAGGGCAAAATTATCTTATTTTTTACTAATCATTATAGTACTGGTTATTACTACGAATTTCCATTTGGCTATCTTGTCTGCCATAAAGAAACAAATCACGGGGCATCGACTTCTTTCTGTGTTTTTTGTATTTCAGGCTTTTTGCTCAAGTTACTTTGTGAGTTTTTGATTTTCATAGTAAAACATGCAGTCGCTTTGATACACATTTTCTTTTTCAATTAATATATCA